GAGCCTCCACGGCTACAGGTGGGTTCGGGTCGGTTTTGGGGCTCGGAGCGGGATCTGCCTGCTTGCCTTTGCTGAACCAGGATAGAATTCCCATGGCTCGATCGGTGGTAGGGTTTAGCGTTATCACAATTTCACAGTGTGCTTTGCAAAGAGGAAATGTTTGTAGTGACGTAATGACAGTATTATCCTCGACTTCACCTCAGCTAATTATACAGGTTATTATTGGTGGGCCTTCAATAAAAACCCCAAATTTACATGTTAAAGATTTAAGCCCAAAAGTTGGTATTTGTTATAAAATACGGGGAATATAAAGAACACAATGTATAAGAACCGAATATAAATCACAACAAAGCTTTTCTTTCTTTTCTTCTCACTTTTCGGTACAAATATCACAATGCATTTTGGCCCCTTTTTATAAGCAAAGGGGCACACATTCCAACACACTAATATAATAAAATAATAAAAGTGATAAACCTATTATAAGTGGTTAATTCCACATATATTTACAATACTCCCCCTTGGAATTACCACTATTAAATGTGCGTTTATGCTGCCTCGTTAAAAACCTTATCTGGAAAAACCCTGTGGGAAAAAAAACCGAGATAAGGAAAAAAGAGTACAGCCGCACATACTCCCCCTCGAGTTATCATCCGTGCAAATCTCGAAGATGTCTCATCCCAATATTGTGCACGTGCTTTCGAAATATTGTCGTCGGAAGCGCCTTCGTAAACAAATCTGCTGCATTATCACTTGATCGAATGTATTGAACTGTGATTTGTTTGTTTCTTTCAAGCTCTTGCGCATATAAGAATAACTTTGGCGGGATATGTTTAGTTCTGTCATTCTTGATGTATCCTTCTTTTGTTTGAGCGACACATGTTGCATTGTCTTCGAATATCACCGTCGGGTCATTATTATTTGATAGTCCACTGGCTTGTTGAATGTGTTGAGTCATGTTTCTGAGCCAGATGCATTCTCTAGTTGCTTCATGTAATGCAATGACCTCGGCATGGTTTGAAGACGTCGCAACTAGTGTCTGTTTCTGGGAACGCCAAGAAAATGCAGTTCCGCCAATTGTAAAGACGTATCCAGTTTGAGATCTTGCTTTATGGGGATCTGAGAGATATCCTGCATCTGCAAAACCGATTATTTCATGTTTTCTATTGTTAGAATAAAACAGTCCCAAATCGATTGTCCCTTGGAGATAACGGAATATATGCTTAATTCCATTCCAATGTCTCCTCGTAGGTGCCGAGTTATATCTTGCTAATAAATTGGTAGCGAAAGATATATCTGGTCTGGTACAATTAGCAAGATACATAAGGGCTCCTATGGCACTCATATATGGTATTTCAGGACCAAGTATCTCTTCATCTTCATCACAAGGTCGAAATGGATCCTTTTCGACATCTAATGTTCGATTGACCATTGGGGCACTAAGTGGATTAGCCTTGTCCATATTGAATCGTTTCAGAATTCTTTTAGTGTAATTAGATTGATGGACAAATATCCCATTTTGGATCCGTTCTATTTGCAAGCCAAGACAATATTTGGTCTGTCCGAGATCTTTCATTTCAAATTCGCCTTTTAGTAAAGTGACTGCTTCTTGAATTTCATTTGTAGTCCCAATAATATTAAGATCATCGACATAGACAACAATTATCACAACTCTATCTTGTGATCTTTTTATAAAAACACACGGGCATATTTGATTATTTATGTATCCCCGTTTATGCAATTGTTCACTTAAACAATTGTACCACATACGCCCGGATTGTTTCAAGCCATACAATGATCTTTGCAGTTTTATCGCACATAACTCTTTAGGTTTGGACTTTAGTGCTTCGGGCATTCTAATTCCTTCTGGAATTTTCATATAAATGTCAGCGTCTAGTGACCCATATAAGTAAGCAGTCACAACGTCCATAAGACGCATCTCAAGATTTTCATGGATGGCCAAGCTAATCAAGTATCTGAAAGTAATCGCATCCATAACAGGGGAATATGTTTCATCATAATCGATCCCAGGCCTCTGGGAAAATCCCTGTGCTACAAGGCGAGCTTTATATCTTGTGATCTCATTTTTCTCATTTCTTTTTCTGACAAAAACCCATCTTTACCCAATAGGTTTTATGTCTTTGGGTATAATGGTTATAGGTCCAAAAACCTTTCGTTTATTAAGCGAATTTAACTCGGCTTGAATAGCACCTTTCCACTTGTCCCAATCATGTCTTTTCTGACATTCAATCATAGACTTTGGTTCAGGATCCTCAACTTCTTTGTCAATTTCTTGTGATACCATATATGCGAATGCATCATCAATGATCTCATCACGCTTCCAAAGTTTCCCATTATTTACATAATTGATGGAGATTTCAATATTTTCAGTTCGTTCCAAAATTTTTCCATCGTCTTGATTCTTTTTCAAATTCGAATCTTGAATTTCTCTTTTCTTTCGAGGATTCTTATCTTTAGACCCCACTGGTCTTCCTCGTTTCAATCGTGCCTTTAATTCATTTGGCACATCGTCATTTGCCATTTCTTTTGGAATCTCAATTCGAGCAGGGGCATTTATAGCTGCAACATGTGATTTTGTCACCCTTTTTGTATCAGTAAATGCATCTGGCAATCGATTTGCAATATTCTGCAGATGTATAATCTTTTGAACTTCTTGCTCTCTTTGTTTGGTGGGAGGATCGAGATATAACAGTGATAATGTTCTCCATTCAATATTTTTCTCAATTGATTTTTCATTCCCACCTAAAGGGGGAAATAATTCTTCATTAAAATGACAATCATCAAACCGAGCTGTAAAA